TTCACATTTATAATATTTATTTATACAGATTCTGAAACGGCTGGACGGATTTAGATAAAATTTAGTCCTAATTATAGATTATAACCTGCAGTAATATAGAAACAAACTCGGGCGATGCGACACAAAGACATCTAGTTAGTCATTAAACTAAATCTATCATGTCTTTGTTTATATGGTTATTCCAATGAAGTCATTGACGTTTTTCCATCTAGCCTTTTATAGCAATTGTCTCTTATTATACCCAAGGCCACGTCTTAGATTAATTCATCATCTCAACACCATGCGGACAAACTGGCTAGCTTCCAAAATGTCGGCCTTATAATGAATTAAAAGTTATGTTTTATAAAATACTAGCATTGCCCTCGGCTCCGCCCGCGTTCAGATGACCAAAAACCAATTTTTTTTTGGTTTTACATATCAGTATACTCTTACAATTCAGTTTTTGTATTTTTTCACAGAAAAGAGATATTTTCCCGCGGTAAATAGTATCCTATATGTTGACCCGAATAACCTGCTATCATCATACCAAATTTCATCGAAATCCCTCCAGTGGTTTTTCCGTAATGCGGTAACAGACAGATAGACAGAGAGGCAGACAGACAGAAAGACAGACAGTCAAAAATTCTAAAAACTATACATTCGGCCTCTGTATCGATAATAAAGTCTAAGTAATAAGTATATAAGATTTTCCAAAAAATATTTAATGTACAGATTCGGCTTAGTTACAATGTTATAATATGTATAGATAATTATGCGCATACTATTGTTATACTCATTATGTAAACATTTTATTTTTCCTTGCCTTTTCTTGCGAATGCTTACAATTACGCGTTAATTAGTTAAACTTTATTGAATAGTAAAAATATCATTTTAAATGAATTTGACCAGTGAAAATTATTTGTTTTATAAAATTCACCACCTATTTAGTGGCTAAATTTTAATAAATCCTTTCATTACAAATTCAAAAATTTTACACTTTAGCCCTCGGTCTAGTACTAGTGGCTTAGGCTGGACCAATCAGTTATTCAGAGCATGTATTTTATATATTGATACTTCTAAAAAAAATCTTATTATACTGCGTAACGTAATTATGATAAACTCTGAATATGCGAATAAAATTTTACAAATGAGAGGAATTATTTTAAATTAGATTAACGCTTAACAAAACACATTTTGATAACAATGGTACCGGAATCTTTATTTAGTAACCACACTGAATAGCCGTAACAAAGGATATTATATTCACAATTATCATAACAATATCCAAGCTCAAAGGTTGCAGGAAACACATATTGAAGCTATAAAGGCTTTTATTATATACATAATACGCCTGTTATTATTGTACGTTATATTATTTCGTGTGCTCAATACATGTAAGATTTTTAAACATTTTATGAAAATACTAGATTTGCCCGCGGCTCCGCCCGCGTTCAGATGACCAAAAACCAAATTCTTAGATTTTACATATTGGTATACTCTTACATTGCAGTTTTTGTATTTTTTTCTTAGAAATGAGATTTTCCCGCGGTAAAAAGTATCCTATATGTTGACCCGGATAACCAGCTATCACCATCCAAATTTCATCAAAATCCCTCTTGTGATGTTTTTTTGTGACGCGGTAACAGACAGACAGACAAAAATTCTAAAAACTATAGATTCAGCCTCTGTATCGATAATAATGTTTATTGCAATAAGATTTTCCAAAAAGAAATATTTAATGTACAGATTCGGCTTAGTTACAATTTTATTATACGTATAGATGAGTGTACGATTATTTTGTTTTTATTTCTAGTAGGTATTTTTCTATTAGATAGGTAGATCAGTACTGGGCGTGTTAGATCACATTGCTTAATGCCATGCTTTGTTCAACTAGTTACTAGACCAGAGGGGCTTTCGCGTATTTCTATAGTTTATAAGCAAAATTTTATTATTTAAAATAATATTATAAACTCTTGAATAATATTGACGATAACATCGTTAGTAACGTAAACTGTTCTCCACTCGATGTCATGTCATATCATGTCATATCTCGTGGCGATGTCAATACTGTCCAATTTTTAGCTCATAATTATGTTCAACGTAAAGCTTTATTAGGCATCCATTTATCATACTCAGTCGGTCGTATCCTCGTAGGACAAACACACGGTCAATTTGCCTCATGCTAAAATGAAGTGAACTAAATACATATATTATAACGAATTCGTAGTTTAATAAGAAACAATGGGGATTAAATAATATATTTTCTATTTTTATTCTTTGCTGTATAAAATCGTAACCTAAAACCTTTCCTCTTTAAAACTAAAACATTTCCCGCCGTCAGGGTCACAAATCGTTTTCCATTAGTCCGACATTTCTGAGATAGAGCCGAGAAACTTCCAACTAGAACCGTAATCCTATATGCCCATTTAGAGTTTTGATATCTCAACTTTAACAGAAAAGTTTCTTTCCAAAATTATACTTTTCCTTAACATGATAGAAATTTTACCTCTGGGAAACTCAAAGATTAATTGAGTTTTACGAAGTGCTTTACTATTATGGAATAGGTGGGATTTTCCAAAAAGGCATAATAAATTACGATTATTACTTCGTGTTTATAGTAGTTTAACATTTGTAGTTTTATTTTACTACTAGCGACTCACTCTCGCTCCGCTCAGATTCGTCCATAGTTACGTTTTAACGTTTAGTATAGATTTCTCAGAGATGAGATACTTTTCCGCAGTAAAAAATATTCTATATGTTCACCCGGATAACCAGCTATCATCTTTTTTCGTGATGCGGTCCCAGACAGGCAGACGGACAGACAAAATACTAAAAACTATAGATTCGGCCTCTGTACCGATAATAATGACTACCTCAATAAGATTTTTCAAAAAATATTTGATATACAGATTCGACTCAGAATTTTATTATCTGTATATCTATACAATAAAATATCTATAAAAACCAATATAGAATATTAATATCAAAAAAATGTATGCCAAGATATTTTGTTACAAGATATAAATCAGTTATTACACTCAAAGCGGTATTATTGATAGCCCAAAATTGGCGTTTGTACAGCGCCAATACATCGTTCGTATTTTATGACTGAAAGTTTATCTTTTTATCTTTCACTAACCGTTATTTGTATGAAATCATATATCATATGAACAACCGTGGATGCTGTCTACATTTATTTTCCTGGCAATATTTTCAAGTTGTCCACATAAAGCATGTCTATATCTGACAATTCGGTTATTTGCAATTATAACCGATATTATTATTATTATTATATTCGCATTTTTTTAATCATGAGATGTGCAAATTAATTTGTAGGTCGAATGTGTTTTTAGTATAATTTTCATACAACACAGCTATTTTGTTATTTATGAGAATTTTATTATAAGTTACGATAAGTTATAAAATCTTATTATTTTAGTGGACGTATCTAGCGGATGTTATAGGGAACGATATAATTCCGTCTTTGGCTTGCGGCCACCGATTTCCGCAAATATTAAGCGTATTCTATTTCGAACTATACAAATGTGTATCGTATTGATTGATGATTGAACTGCATTGTGTGTGAGAAATTAATTGTAAATATTTATTTTTTGTTAACTATATAAGGTAAGGCATAATAGATGTAAAAAAGTACGTGTGTGTGCAATTCACACATGGTAGAAGTGAATCTCATTATTATATATTTGTCAGACAATAAAAGCGGTTACCATGGCAACATAGCAATGTATTCTATCTCATTCTCTCGCCGGCTTAATCCTATATATTTATATGTTTGTCTCTTTTTAGTGTCACATTTCCGTTTCATCCAGTTTCATCGAGTTTCAAATCACAACGATTCTAAAGAAGTTTTACAAAATATAGTTTTATTATTATATACTATAATATATTGTTATACACGTGTTAACGAGGAGATGCTTAAGATCCCACTTGTACAATATGTACTCGTAATAGGTATAACGAAATATTTGATTTATTGCTACATCAATATATCTTTTTATGTCAGTTTATTTTAGTTTAGTTTTACCTGAAAGAAAATTCTGAACAGCTAGAAAATTGCATTTATTAGTTCGCAGCAAACACATATGTTCTGATATATATCAGATCCCCACATTAAAGTTTTTTGCTCTGACGAGTTGAAGGAGCAATTAGAGTACGTTGTAGTTCTGTAGGGCGCTTGCGGTCTGCGGCTGCCGGACTCCGATTACGTTCACGGTCCAGTTCCTATTCGATATGTGCTTGATCTAGAAATGCTAAATGAATGTTAGCTCGATTGAATGAAATTGACTTTCTATTTCGATCTTTTTCAAAGAATCGAGTAATTTATATTACACATATTTACATTTTATATATAAACGAAATTGAAATATTCGTCTGTAGTTTTAGAGCAGCTGGTTTTCGTTAGCTGGTTTGTATTTGTAATATTTCTAGACTGTGGTTATTCATTGGTATGTAGTATGTTGTTTCGTATATTGTGATCGTTTGTTTTGAAACACTGAATTGATTTTATTGATGAAATTGATAAATTTAAATTGTTTTTTCCATATCTGGAAAACAAAGAATCCGCTAGGAGTTGATCAAGATTCCATTAGTACTGAACCATCAATCCGCGCCTGGCCAGCGTGGACTATTGCTTGATCACTCTTGTAGTACAAGAAGGCCCGTGCCCAGCCGTGGGACGTTAAGAAGGGCACACATACATACTTACTTGTAGTACTCAGATTTTGATATATATAGCTTGGTGTATTGGTAAAAGATAGTGTATTTTAAGCTATTTTTTGTGATATTAAATTAAGAATTTTAAATATTTGTAATTAGACTGTTTATAAATAATTCTAAATAAGCGGAAGCACGGCATAAGTGTAGTTTTATGTAATATTATAATTCCAGTATATTTCAACTAAGCTTCCAGCTAAGTTATGGCAGCAGGATAAGTTTTTTTAACATTTAAGTGTCACGCACGACTTTAATGCACGACTATAAATTAAACATTTTTGTTGCAGGACGAGAGATTTAACCACGACATTGACCAACAGACGGGTTATAAGACGAGGTCGCTCCTTTGCATGCCTATCAAGGATATCAACGGGGAGGTCATAGGTGTTGCGCAGGTACCATACTATATAATTTTCCTGTTTGTTTGAAAGCACGTTTTCTAATATGTAGCTTGTTGTAAAGAAAATTCAAGATGTGAGAAATTAATTTCAATAATATTTTTATTTCATTTGAACTAAAAGTGATATTGATTTCAAAATCACTTCCAAACCATAATCCAAAATGTCGGTCTATAAAATATCCAAAACAAATAAAACCTTATAATTAATTAATCTATAATAAAAAGTCGCTTGTTCTAACTGATTCGTCAAAGCTTAGACCAAACCGCAGGATCTGAAGTGTTGGACTTTTGTTAGCTCATTCTAATCATGGTATATCCATATATCAATTTAAAAACCAAAAAAGGCGAAACAAGTTTGGATTGATAATAATATACTAGTAGTAATAATTATTAAAAAAATATATATTTATACTCTGTTGCTAGTTTCGCTAAATGTCAAATTTAATAAAAGTATGCCGTGAAGCCGTGGCTGACATCGAGTAATAAGCAAAATGGAAAATATTTCTTTATAAAATTTGAAAGTTAGTATGTCATGTAAATGTTTATTTTACAAGTACAAATGTAATTAGCATACAATGTTCTTGTTACAGTCTTCTTGTGGATGTATTTGGAGAGTAATTTGGTAAAAAAAAATAACGAAGTATTTTCAATTAAAAAAAATATGAGATATGTATATATAAAATAGTACTTATTGCATTGATTTGTAAAGTGTGATTGCCTATTTTTATCTCTTTGAAAATATTTCATTTATATTTTATTTCTGTTCGATCAAATACTGTTCATAACAAAGATTTCATATTGGAATATGAAAATAATCTTGGGTTTATTACAATTTATACAATAGAAAACTCTTAGAGATTTACGTCTTTCCATAAATTTTACTTTACTTATCGTGTTCTGGTATAAGCTTTATAAGAAAATCGAGGAATATATTATAATGTTATTGGTATCACCGCATCACATATTATCGCAGCTGCTTCGATTATTAACTTTAAAAAAATTGTTTAAATGAATGTTTAAACTAATTTAATTATTCCTTCGAAGGTCATTAACAAGCAAAGCGATGGGCCATTTACGACGTATGATGAAAAAGTCTTCGCATCATATCTACAATTCTGCGGCATCGGTCTACGAAACGCTCAATTGTATGAACGATCGCAGTTAGAAGTGAAGAGGAACCAAGTTTTGCTGGATCTGGCGAGGATGGTCTTTGAAGAACAGAGCACGATAGAGCACATGGTGTTGAGGATATTGACGCACACACAGAGTTTGATACGATGTCAACGAGTACAGGTAAACTTATAGAATATATACTTACTTATGTTATAATTATGATGTTTTTTTTACATAACATGATTTTCACATGAACAATGATCAACATGATTTTTGTATGGAGTTTTTAGGAAAGAGAGTGATCTAGGATACTTTAAACGAAGTTTATCGAGTGGTTCATGTGGGTTTTTGGCTAAGTGGTGGAGCATTTGCTCAATGTTATCGTATTAATAGTATTTGTATACTATTAATACGGTTAAAACGTAGGAAGTTGTGTTTATATGTACTTATATTAGGGATTCTTTTTATCTAATTAAATAAAATATAACCTTGCTCGAAGTAACTAATAAAAAACCACGCTTGACAATATTCTGCAGAACTGAATTTATAGTAAAATCATATAATGTCCAAAAAGTTGTTAATTTTAACGAATGGCGAACGAAGCAATTAAGATATAATCCTATAAAAATTGCGAACAAGGTGTGAAACGAAATAAATCTCAATTGTTAAACTAGTTTAAATTTAACAAATGCAAAAAAAATGTATGGCTAACTACTGTACGGATGTTTGATGTCTGCCATCTGTCGTTAAACTGGTTTTTGTTCCGGATGTTACAAGTTTGAACCTTTAAGGTAATATTTACTGTATTCAAACAAATATTTACTGTCGACACCTTTAAAGGCTATTATTATATAATATAAAAACTACATAATTAGGCTGTTTGAATGTTTCTTTTTTAATATTTGAAATCGGAAATTGACTAAGAGCATATTTGTGTATAACTTTTTTCCAATTTTACGCAATTTCTTATGTCTCTTTTAAATAAAACTATCTTTTCGGATTTTGTCGCGGATTTATTTGCATTTTTGTTTCCCGACGTTTCGAATGCTTTACAGCAATCATGGTCACGGGAGAGACTGAGGTGTTACATGTCTTGAATGTATAGTAGTTCTTATGTCTCATTGAGAATCAACGCTGTTTTTCTCAGGCTGAACTCAAACATTATCTATATGATGATACTTTTATTGTCCCATGGGATGACAACACGCGGCATTCGGCACAGTAGTGTTTGTGAGTCAGAAGTTGGCTACTCTACGCTAAAAACATTCTGTCGTCAAAAGTTTATTCACCGATTCATCATTTCTAAACCGTTAAATCTGTCATGTTGTAATTTCTTATCTTCTAAAAATCTAAAATGAAGTATGAAACGGTATTATAATATTGTATACATATTATGTAGAATTTTGACGTAGTTTATAGTTTCCAAAGGCTGTTTCATGCGAACATAATATTGACCGTTTTAATTTGCTCTGTCCGACTAATGTTCTCTAACAAGCCAACAATTGGCAATAAATACGCAATTGCGAGGATTTTCTATATGAACGCGCTAATTTACTACTCGAAATATGGAAGCGCTGGGCTAAATAACTACATTACAATAAAGGATATATTATTATTTTTATTATATACCATTTTTTTTGAGGCCATGGTAGCCCAGTGGCAACGCGCTCGCTTGGGAAACCGAGTGCAGCGGGTTCAAATCCCGGGTTTCACACCTCTGATATTTTCATGTGCGAATCATTTCCAACATGATTACCATTTGTCTTAACGTTGAAGTAAAACATCGTGAGGAAACCTGTACGTCTGAGAGAACCTAGGAAGTTTTCGAAAGACATGTGAAGACCACCAACCCGCACTTGGCCAGCGTGGTGGACTATGGCCTTATCGCCCTCGTAATGAAGGGATTCGTTAAAAATGGCTGAATACTGAGTGAAATGTGAATGAATATTTATTTGTCGTATTTCGACATCGGATTAGCCTACGAATTATTATTAAAGTTTGGAATTTAATATTAGATTATTTCTAGTTAGTTAAATGCTTTAAAGAAATAAGAATATTACGTATATAGAGCTTTGAATATATTCAAGCGAATCTAATAATGTTTGCAAAAAAAAATTAAATGCAAATTTGTCCCATTACAGCTAAGCTTGAATTTATTACTTTATATTCATACTAATATTATAAATGTGAAAGTGTGTTTGTTTGATTGTTTGTCCTTCTTTCACGTCGAAACGGAGAGACAAAATGGTTTGATTTTTTGTGTGGAGATAGTTGGAGGGCTTAAGAATGACATAGGTTAATTTTTACCAGAAAAATATTTATAATCAAAATTACTTAAAACTTGGTATTCATTCATGCTCTTCAATACAATTAAATAAATAAATGTTAGTGTTTTTCGAAATTCATCTTATAAGGGGGTAAAATAAGGGATGAAAGTTTGCATGAAATCTACATTTTTAGAGTATTTTTTTATAGTTTTAGCGCAAGCGAAGCCGCGGCTTCTGCTAGTATTATGTATATAGTATATATTTTGATATTTTATTTTATGTAAAAATATCACGTACGCATATTTGTCTGCAGTATTACATTAATTAAGCCTTTTTTTTTGGATTATATCCAAATGTATTATTTAGTTTCTTATACAAATATACATAAAGACATATACATATATTTTACTTTAATAATCATGTGATCAAGACAACAGAATTCTTAAGAAAGAAATAGGTTAGACCTTTACGTTATTTAATCAAATATAAATAGCATGCAGTTTTATCTCAGCATGTCGTTAATTTAATAATAATAACTAGCGACTCATCCTCGTTTCGCTCGGTTTAAAAAAAAGTAGGGGGATATAAAGTATGTCCTTCCCAGGGTCTCAAACTATCTTCTTACCAAATTTCATCTAAATCGGTTTAGTAGATCCAAAGATTACCCCCTACAACGTCACAAACTCACAATTCATAAACTCCCAAACTTTACCTCTTTAGTATAGATAATAATCTACAGAACATAGTTTGCTTACATCGAATTTCAAATGCATATATTTGAACGTCTCTTAGAAGAGCACAATAGAACCATCAGCGTCGCAAAACGATCTTGCATTTTGTGCAGCAAGAATTTTTGTATAACGTTATCCTATATGCATCCAAAATTAGATATCTCAAGTTTAAAAGAGAGCTAGTGAGACTCAGATCCGATATTACTACAAGTTTATTCAGAAGATAAAAAGTTTACTCCACCCTACATCCAAAACCCGTTTTATATTTCAAGCAATAAAGTTCATACGACAGTAATTTCATATTCATGCCACTTTAAAATACCGTATCTATGATCTCTTTGTAGATATCGCCCGGGGGTATCGAGATTTATTATAATTTCTGGCGCCTCCACTCGACCGCCTGTACGACGCCGGTAAATTCTATTTAATCGGCACCATGTAATGATGATTGAACCGTAGCCGGCGCCAACGTTATCGCAGTAATCGCGCAAACAACTGAATGCTAATTAATATTCGCAACTTTTAACTAGGCTGTGATGGGAATTTAGTTGTTTATATTGCTCTCGTATTGTTTGCGAATCAGTAGTCAATCAATGAGAGAACGTTGTTTACCATCGATAAATATGGTTCAATTTTCTCGAACTCGGTCATTGGTTTCCGTGACGATGTATAATTAAAATTTATTTAACAGTATTATTTATTTTGATTGTTATTTGATGATATTTTAATACGCTTAAATAGCGCCCGTATTGCGCAATAGGAACTCTGATATATTTTAATGCGTTTGCCATATCTGAACTGACAATGATTAAGCCAATCACAGCAAACATGAACATTTGGACGAAACGTTTATCTTATATTATTACTAGCAGAACTCGCGGCTACACCCGCGTTCAATCTACAAAAAAAGCTCTTTGGCTTTATGTTGTACAGCTATGTATTTATATAATACTAGCGACTCACCCTCGCTCCGCTCGGGTTCGTCCCTGGGGTGGGGTCTGGGAGGACCACCCTTATCCTTATCACTTAGGGGTATGAAAAATAGATAGTAGCCGATTCTCAGACCTACTGAATACGCATATAAAATTTGGTAAAAATCAGTAAAGCCGTTTCTAACATTGTGACATGGAAATTTTATATATAAGATAATAATGCATACGAGTTCAACAATATTTATGACTTCATTTTGAAATGTATGAAATATTTGAAATATATTGCAACAAAGTACTTGGGTTTTAGCAATTTATTTTTCCCAGTTGTTTCATATTACAACTTTAAATGTAATACCTACGGCTAAATTTCATCTATTTCATTTCATACTTGTTTAAAAGAGTACGTTAATTTTTATAAGTAAACGCTTTTGGCACTATTGCTACTACGTTTTGGCTGCTGTTCATTCTTAAGAGAGAACAATATTCGACAATGTATAGGGGCATTGGCAGATGGCCAACGATTTCGAATTTGAGACGTACTACTGTTGAAACTAAAGTAGAGAAACTAAATGTATAGACTCATTCATACTAATGCATGTCGTATAGCTTCTATACACAATAAACGTTTTATGGTACATATATGTAATGTAAAAATTTCATCGCCTCATATTATATGGACACATATTAAGTAATTTTATCAACCGACTTCAAAAAGGAGGAGGTTCTCAATTCGACTGTATGTTTTTTTTTATGTTTGTTACCTCAGAACTCCGTCATTTATTAACCGATTTGGACAATTTTTGTGTTGTTTGAAAGTGTATCCTTCCAGATTGGTCCCATTTAAATTTCAAAAAAAAAATACCACCCCTAAGGGTGGAAAAATAGCTAATGATGAATTTAACCTACTTCTAATTGTCATATTGACTTGAAACTTTGCAAGTGTTTCTATTTCCGTTGATAGTACAGTGGTTCGGTATTGTTGACCTGATCTGATAGTAAGACCAGAAGGTGGATAGGTGGAACTCTTCAACGGCTAATAGTAGATACTTTGAGTTTGGGCTTGTTTTGTTTGATTTGACAAGCCTAATACGTTAGAATTCTTACTTTGCTACTACTGTCTACACTAAAAAGGGAAAAATTAAAACTTTTTAACAAAAAATAAAAACCGACTTCAAACAAAAGCACTAAAAAGTAAAAAATAACTGTCTGGTAGTTTTCATTAACTATACATATCTAATCAAATATTTTCG